CCCCCCAAATGAAACTTCTCTGTTCAAAGTTTTCTTTGCGGATTCGGGGAGATCTCGGTGAGCGCAGTCCAACCATGTTTTCAATTTTTTTTTTTTTTTTTTTTTTTGACCCACTTTTGGACCCAACCGGAATTCCGGTTGGACCACCGGGGGTCCAACCGGCCCTGTTGGATTCGGGCCGGTCCAACCGGCCGGTTGCCGGCACAGCCATGCATGTTTCTACTCCCTGTTGCTAAGGGGGGTAGGCCCAACAACCAAAACCCCTTGGGATGGTTCTTCAGGCTGAGAAAATTGTGCCGGTTAAGTAACTTGCTTTACTTGGGGGACAGTGTCTCTTTCAGAAGCAAAAAGAGAAGTGAAGAACAACTTATTAACTAATATTAAGGTAATTATTAATTTATTACCCACTTTCACGGTTTGGGTGTGGGCACCATGGGGGAGAATTTCTGCGACTCGGAGTTAATATCACCTTGACTGTTTTCGTGAACGACCCACTTTTGCGGGGGTCCCTTGTGACGGTTTGACAGGTTACGCCCTGTTGTGGCCGAATGCCAGTGAATGGTAAAATCATGGGACTGATGATAAACCGGTTGTGGGTTCAAGTCCTGACAGTGAAGACTCTGTCAAACAGTCATAAGGGACCCCAGTGGAAGTAGGTCGTTTATGACAATCACACTGTTATATCGCATGACTGTTTGACAGTGTATGCGCTGTTGTGGCCGAATGTCTGTGAATGGTAAATTCATGGGACTGATGATAAACAGATTGTGGGTTCAAGTCCTGATAGATGCAAGATAATAGTGTGATTGTCATAAACCACCTACTTCCACTGGGGTCGCTTATGACTGTTTGACGGCGTCTTCCCTGTAACTGATTCTGTGTTGAAATCCTGATGGATACAATAATAGTGCGCAATCGTCTGACAGGTTCGCTGTGTGCATTGTTTGTCTGGTCAGGCACCCCACAGAATATGATTCAGAGCTGCGTTGGCTTCGGGGCTTTCTCCTACATCTTTGAGAGACTTAATCCACCCCCAGCAGCTGTGCATGCAGCAATAGGCGTTGGTCCTTGCGAGAGCGTCTGCTCGGTTCTTTGCCCGTCCATCCCGACACCTGACATCCCTTCCATGCTAGGTGCTTTTCTTCCGTCTAGGCTCGTTTCGAAAAGCTCACGCACCTCGAGAACTAGGCGACGCGGGGTCATTATGGCGAAGAGGCGTGTGAACACACCGGGGGAGGGATTAGAATATGAGCCGTTGGCGTCATCGGGCGGAAGCATAGATTTCCTGGCAGAGGCAAAGGCAGAGGCAACGGAATCGATCCGAGCAGCAGGGTTGAGTACACGTGTGAGGTGAGTACTGTACAATATGTGAACAAGGTACGTTGGCTAAGCTGAGTGCGCCGAGCTGAGGGCATACTCACACTGGGGCTTTCCTTGGATGCATCTGACCTTTTTTCAACACTGCGCAAATCCATTGTTAACTTGTGAAGTCCTAGTTTGAGTATGCCCTTCTCAAAGGTATGTCTTGGTTGATGAGAGAGTTGAGATTTATGTGTGGATGGTGAGCGGTGTACTGAAGAAGAGGTGTGACAAGAGGGTGAGCAGAAATTTCTGAGGACAGCACTCAGCTCAGCTACTCCATATCCGTAGGGTTGCAGCAGAGTGAGTGGCCTCAAAGGCACTCCCTGAGGCGCTGGAAGCTGGATCTCTGTCAGCTGATTGGTGATGATTGGATCGTGATTAATTGGTTGGATGATTGATTGGTTGGCGATTGATTGGCTGCCTAGTTTGATTAGTCGTTTGGGAGAAAAGCCCGTCCGGTTGAGTTATTCACTTGAAGCTTCGATCTGATCGGCTGGTTCATAGCTGATCCTGTCCGGATGGCTAGTCCATATATTGGCACCCATAGCAATTTGCAGGTTCGTTTCTTACAAAGCTCACGATTGGGTGCTGGCTCCCGTCAGCGGGCAGACATGTATCAAACCACCACCCCCTCTTCCTACCATACCGTTCGGCAACGAGGGCGCCCATCCCTTTCCAGTTGGCATGTGGGATCGGTGATCCGACGATCACGGGCTTCTTTGTCCCCTGTCTGCAATGGTTGACCTAGCTTTTTTGAAGATTGTGGCGGTTTCAATGGTTCCTCTCTGAGGATGAGCCGCCGATTGCAGAAATTTTGTTCATCTGAAAATCTGTCCCATGCAGAGGGAAGCTATTTGGCTCGTGGTCTAGTTTGCTCTCGTATTCTGTGTTGTTGGTGCACCTGGCTGGTGTAAGCTATGCCGGGCTGCCCAACTGCCGGTCCGTTTCAGGGGTCCATTCCAGTGTCAAAGTCCACTCCTGTCCACAGTTTGGTTTGCGGGTGCGTCTCGGCGGTCCTCCTCCTGTATCTGTCGGGAACGGGAGGACAGTCGGGGCACTCAGCTCGGCGGAAATTTGACTGCCTCCCTGGTGTGTTCATTTTGGAGTTTCTGACAAGTTGCGACAACTCTTGTCAAAAGGAATCAGAAATTAATGACAAGTGATTAATGTTAATGGCACTCAATGCACTACATTACCAGTGGATCATGCAATAGCGTGAACAGATAGTGCAACCAGGGAGGGTTCCATTCCTATGCTTCAGGGGGGACTAAAATTCTTAGCTTCTTCAACTGATTATAATTCTTAACTGACCCTTTGGTTCTGTAGAGACCACTACACTTGGACAAAGGAGTTGTTGACCGATAGTTTAGTTTTTTGGAGTTCAGGATACGAATCGTGCAGTTGGGAAGGCAGAGTTTGCAATCCAGGTCTGACTTGGGGAGAGTATTCTGCAAGGTGGTGGCTCTGTGCTAGTATCTTTAGAGTTGCGTGTCCATTGGATGCAATGTCACATCAAGTTCGAAATACCGTCGACCACTTGACGGTGG